CCGCCGTCCTCGCCACCGCCTTCACCACTGTCCCCACCACCATTGTACCCTCCACTGTCCCACTGTTTCCACCTCATTCCCATTGTCCCCACACCACTGTCCCCACCACCACCGTCACCACCACTGTCCACTGTCCCCCCCTGTTCCCACCATTGTCCCCACCACTGTCCCCACCACTACCGTCCCCACCACTGTCCCACTGTCCCACTGTCCCCACCACTGTCCCGCTATCCCCTCACCACTGTCCCCACCAACACCGTCCCCACCACTGTCCGCACCCCCACTCGGTTTTCGAGGGGGGAGGGGGTTCGAACCGGTAGTGACCCCCCCCGGTTTTCCGGATCCGAGGGGGGGGGGGGGGGGAGGGGTCCGAACCGGTAGTGACCCCCCCCCTTTTCATGATGAGCAGGGGGGGGGGGGGGGGGAGGGGTTCGAACCGGTAGTGACCCCCCCCGGTTTTCCGGAGGGGGGGGGGGAGGGGTTCGAACCGGTAGTGACCCCCCCCGGTTTTCCGCCAGCAGCGGTAGAACACGCTCTTTCTAATCTCGGGATCGACGACACTCAGGGTAAGCCTCGAAGATCGCCTGGCCGTTGTGCTACTGCCAAGAAGCGAGTCGCCATGTTTAACCGTCGCGCCAAGAGGCTGGCCAAGTTGAAGCCATACCTTGGCAAGCGATGCAAGCAGATATTCACCGCTGGGCCGCTGCCTGGCATTTTATGGCGCCGAAGTCCACAGGTGTAGTGACGGGGGGGTTCTTAGGATTCGTCGAGGGCTCGGTCGTGCGATGCAGCCGTCAGCAGGAGGTCGGTCTCTCACCGTGCTTATGATTGCTGAGAATGATCCCTCTTGGCTCGCCTCGGTAGCACCAGTGGTTCGATGGGGGAAGGAGGTGTGGATCACGGCGAGCAAGATCACGTCTCTTTCGCTATCGTTTGCCGCCCTTCGCTCGGCATGGCGCGCCACTTTCTCCAAGGACATCGCATGGCGCTCGTGTGGTGGACCCGCCGATGCGATGAAGCTCTCTTTGTGCAGGATTGACTGGCAGATGAAAGACCCCTTCACTCTGACCAATGACCTCCAGCAAGAGATCTCGCTGCCTGTCGCATCACCTGCCTTGTTGAAGAAGCTCCTCAGGGTGGGGTCCTCTGATCGGTTGTGCTTCGACGTTATGGTTACGGCTACTCGGTCTACTAAGTTCGAGAATATCCAGAGGTGCACTGTGAAAGCGGTTCTCTGTGGGGCTACTTGAATTCGTGATAAGGCCGTTAGCTTAGGATATCAGCGTTGTCCAAAGTGCGTTCTCTGTGGGGAGTGTAGCAAATGTTCTGAGCTCCGTGCCAGTCTTGTGGACCCCTGGGTGTTAGAAGCCTTTGAGGACCACAATGTGGACCTCCTTCTTTCCACCCGAGGCCTTCCCAGGCACCCGGGGGACTTGTACCCGCCTCCGCTCTCGTCCACAGGAGTAGATATTCAATGGCACGACGACCCAGCTCGGCTGGGTGGCGGATTCGAGGGCCATGTTTTTATGGACGGCTCTTGCTTTAAACATCCTGTGCGGGAATTGTCGATAGCGGGGTGGGGGCTCTGTGTTTTTGAAATTTCGGATTCCGCAGCCCATCTCTGTTCGGTTTCGGCCCCCGTCTGGGGCCCCACGCCCCAGACGAGTCAGGGAGGGGAGTGCTCAGCCTTCGGGGGCTCCGTGTTTTTGAATGGGGGTCCCAGCCACTTCTACACGGACTGCTTGAATGTGCACAAGCAGTACCATGCTCCAGGGTATTATAACCAGATCAGCTATAAACTCGTTTATAGCGGTATGATGATGCAGGCTCTGTCTCACGTTTCGTTGATTTCGAGTCTCACCAAGGTGAAGGCTCACCAGAGTTTCGAGTTGGAGTTGCCTCCGCTGGAGGCCTTTTACCGCTTGGGCAACCACGGGGCCGACCAGGCGGCTAAGAGAGGTGCTCTCCAGCACCCTGCTGCTGCGCCCGAGCTTCAAGAGGCTGTGGGTCCTAGTGTTTCGGTTGCCAAAGCGGTAGCCAAGCTATCTGCTCACCTTCTGCCGCTCTGGCCTCGCCTTGACCTCGAGGGGGTGCAGCTTATCGTCCCGCCGCGTCCTGCCGTGGAGGCCCGTTCGGGCCATTCCTGGGTGCGGGTCGGGGGCCTTTGGCAATGTACTCAGCGCCTCCGTGGGCGGCACACTGCGGCGGTGCCGCCTCCAGGAGTCTGTTCCCGTCGCTCGCGTGTGCAAGTCGCTCAGTTGGCCTCGCTCGGCCATCGGTGCTGGGTGGTTGACTGTAGCGACGACTCCTTTGTGTGTTTTTGCCAGACGTGTAAGTGCTACACTTCTGGTTTAAGGCTCGCCAAACTTGCGAGCCGCTGTACTGGCCCTCCTGCCAATAAGGATGGCACTCCCAGGACACCAGATTCCTGGGCTCGCGTGCTTCGTGGCCGTCATCTTAAGCGGTCACGGGTGACAATTTTGTCAAGCACGATGGCTGCGCTCTGTCCGTAACATCGGGGGGGGCGGTTGGGCCAACCCTCGTTGGGCTGATGGTCCCCCCTGCGCGTGCGGAAGCCGTGTGGCCTCGCCGCTGACAGTGTCGCCGCTCTCTGCCCCAGGCTTTCGCTCTGCGACTCTGGTGCAGGAGCCTCTGCGCCTCGGCCTGACTCAATGCAGGATGGTTGTGGCGTCTCCAGCGGTGCATGTTTAAAAAATCCTAATCGGCGATGCGTCGCCGATAGATCGGCGATAGGCCCCCGATCGGGAAACCCCTCTCCTGGGCAGGTAGGGGCGCCCGGGCCTCGATCGGCGATAACATTGGCGATTGGGAGCCGCTCTCCCCCCCCCCCGGGCGGGCGGGCGGGCGGGGCTGCTGTCCCCCCCAGTGCAGCTTGTCTTTGTAGTAGAACCGAGGCTCGATTGTAGTCGATTGCGATGCCATCGATTGCGTTGCCATGCGATGGGGGGTTTCAACGGTGCGGCGGCGACGGGCGGCGCTGACGCGGGGACTGGCGGCGACTGCGACAACACGCGTGTCAACCGACACCCAGGCGCAATGGAGCAGCGACGGACGGCGGCGACGGGCGGCGACGGCGACAACAAGAGCGACGACAGACACCCAGACCCAAAAGCAGTGGCGACGGACGGCGACGGCGACAACAAGCCAGCCAGACCGACACCCAGGCCTAGTTCCTTCTAGAACAAGTGAGGAACCCGAAATGTAAGCTCTGTTTGGGGAATAGCTGTTTCCTTTTTTTCGCCTTCGATGCGCTTGCGAGCTTTCCCCCAAGAGGCCCAGAGATGCCCCCGAGAGAAGCCCCAATAGGCCCGAGAGTTTTCCAAGAGACCTTGAAGTGTTTCCACGAGGCGCCCAAGAGGCCCCCGATAGGCTCCCAAAAAGTAGATGAGACCCAGCGGCCCCAAGGAGGCCTGAAGATGTCCCAAGAGGCGCCCGCCGTCGCCGCCGCCGCCGTCGCTGTTGCCGTCGCAGTCGCCGTCGCCGTCGCCGTCGTCGCTGTCGTCGTCGTGGTCGTCGTCGTCGTCGCCGTCGTCGTTGTCGCCGCCGTCGCCGTCCCGGGCGCCGCTGTCGTCGTCGTCGTCGTCGTCGTCGTCGTCGTCGTCGTCGTTTTCGTCGCTCTCCTCCTTTCCCTCCTCCACTTCCCCCTCATTCTTCGAGAAAAATGTCTTCACCGGCCGGATGGAACCCTTCACCGGCCAGATGGGACCCTTCACTGGCTGACCGGCTGACCGGCTGGTCGGCTGCCTGGCTTCACCGTCTGACCTCGCCTCGCCGGTATGCACATGCTTGTTGGACGCAGAACTCTGTGCACGCCGGCAAGGAGTCCTACCTGAACCTGTGGATTACTAGCGAATCCTACCGAAACCTTCGGATTACCAGCGAATCTACCCAAACCTTTGGATTACTAGCGAGTCCTAGCGATCCATGGGAAGACGAGGGAGCCCCATGGAAATTCGAGAAACGCCCCAACCTCTGGGAAAACGTGGAAGCCCCAAGGGGGCTCGACATCATCATCATCATCATCATCATCATCATCATCATCATCATCATCATCATCATCATCATCATCATCATCATCATCATCATCATCATCATCATCATCATTAGCAGCAGCAGCATCATCATCATCATCCTCATCCTCATTCTCATCCTCATCCTTATCCTCATCATCATCATCATCATCATCATCGTCATCATCATCATCATCCTCATCCTCATCCTCATCCTCATCCTCATCCTCATCATCATCGTCGTCATGATCGTCATCATCATCATCATCATCATCGTCATCATCATCACCATAATCATCGTCAACATCATCATCACCACCATCACCATCATCATCCTCATCATCATCATCGTCGTCATGATCGTCATCATCATCATCATCATCAACATCATCATCATCATCAACATCATCATCGACATTATCAATATCAACATCATAATCAACATCATCATCGTCATCATCGTCATCATCATCGACATTATCATCATCCTCTTCCCACCATGCATGCCACGTTGGTACAAGACCAGACTTGGTCTCTTCACCGGCCTCCAAAAAACCAACAAAAAAACAATTAATTGCAGAAGCGGTTGTGGCAACCCTTAGCACTCCACACTCGTTCTTGCTGGCGTACATGCGAACACTACAATCAACTTTCAATTGAAAGACGTAGCCGGTGAAACACCCAATCAGCCGGTGAACGGATCAGCCGGTGAAGGGTCCCATTTGGCCGGTGAAGGGTCCCACTTGGCCGGTGAAGAGACCAATAGCCTCCTTCTTCACCCAGCCTTTTTCCTCCTTGTATTCCCCCCTGTCTCACTCGTTGCCGTCGTCTTCCTCCTCCTCTCAAATCCCTTCCTCCTCGGCCTCCTCCTCCTCCTCCTCGTCCTCCTCGTCCTCCCCCTTCAGGGGGTGGGAGGTGCTGGGGGGCCAGCGTGGGCTCCAGCGGGCCCTCCGCCCTCGGCCCCGCCAGGCCCGGACACACCGCCAGCCTGGACAGGGTCTGGGAAGGGCAGGACGGCGCGTTCAGGCGGCCGCCGCTCGCCGCGCTCGACGCCGCTCGTCGCGCGGCTCGTGCTGGCGTTCTTGCTGGCCTCCTTTTCCTTTGTGCCGACGAGGCGTTCCCAGGCCCCTCGGCGTCGTGACAATGGTCGAGGACGCCTGCGGCGAATCGCTGCCCCCTGCCTTTGGAGTCGCCCATGTGGCCGAGCGTTGCGGCAAGAACTCTGCCAAGCTATCGGACCATGAGTTTCCCCAGCCGTTGTGGAAAGCCCTTCGGGGAACATTTTGGGGAGCATGGCGGGGATGATCAGGAGGAGAAGGAGGAGGAGGAGGAGGAGCAGGAGGAGGAGGAGCAGGAGGAGGAGGAGGAGGAAAATCGAGGAGGAGGAGGACGACGACGAGGAGAATAATAATAACAATAAGGGGCGGATAAAGAGGACGACAATCGACGAGCTGCTATCTGACCAACCTTTGCCGTTTCCTTGGCGCTCCCCGCAGTGTGGGGGCCTCCCTGTTTGGCACGAGCGGAAGGGGTCTTGACGGAAACGGGCCCTTGAGGCCCAGAGGTTCCCCATGGGCGTCCTCTCATCACCTGTTTTGTTGACGGTCTTGGGGCCCCAGGAGTGTCTTGGGAGGCCAGAAACGGCGGAACCCTTTTCCTTCAGTGCAACTTTGTCATCATGGTGACGCGTCGTGCCACCTGCACCCCTGAGATCCCCGAGTGCTCTCTCGATGCCATCCTGGCGCCAGCTCCTTCCCCACTCTTCCGCTGCCCTTCGGGTTGCCCTCCTCCGCTCTCTCTTGTCGGCCTTCGGCGCCCTGCGGCTCGGCTCAGCTCAGCTCGGTCGGGTGCTGCCAGAGGCGGCCCCGGCCGGCCCCACGGTGACCTCAGTTTTCCCAGGGGAGGTCACGTGGCCTTCACAGCAGCCCCGAGGAGGCCTACATGGGCACCCAGGGGCCCCTGAATTGCGCCACGAGCTGGGGGACCTCTGGTGTCTGGGTCACCTCTGGCAAACTCCGAGTGCGGCGCACGAGGGGGGCTGTGGGCAAGGGGGGAGTGTCCCGGAGGTGGTTGACGGACCTGCTCGATTTGGACCACGACGGCCTGAACGCGATCTCGTTTTCGATCGCGTGCCTGATGATTTTGTCGCGGCCGCGTTTGACCCAACTCTCTCACCACTTGTCTTGTTATGTGTTCTATTACAGCTGTCACATATCTTCGTATTGCTCATACCACCAGCAGTCTTACAGCACCAGCTACAGTCCTTACAAACACTTCTATTTCAGCGCGTGACACCTACGTTACTACGACATCCACTGCAGCTCCTGGTACAGCTCCCACTGCCTCTCCTACGTATCTCATACCACATGTCATATCACCACCTCATCTCATACCACATGTCATACCACGTATCTCATACCACATGTCTGTTGACAGCTCCTACTACAGCTGGCACCACAGAACTCATTACAGCTAATTCGACCCATCCTGCTACAGCTCCTACTGTATCTCCCATTGCATCTCAGAAGTTGGTCCATTCTGCAGTTCCCACCACAGCTTCTACCATAGCTTCTCTTATGGCTATCACAGCTCCTGTCGCTGCTTTTATCGCAGCTCCTGCTATTGATCCTGCTGCACATCCTTGCGCACCTGCGACAGCAACGCTTCCTGCAGCCTTCTGCATTTGTTGTCCAACTCCTTCCACAGTTCCTGCTGCATTTCCTCGTGCAGCTCCATTACGGCTTGTGCTACAAATCGTACCGCGGCTCATAATCCATAGTTTCTTGCAGTTTTTGATACAGCTCGTACCACAAATTCGGTACGGCTTGTTCTACAGTTTCTTTTTTCCTTACCTAGGCTCTGCCTAGAAGGGTTCTTACTCTCTGGGCTTAAAGGGGCCGGGCAGTGGAAAGCGCCCCGGGCGATTCCCCCAGTATCCGCCCCGCGGTTCCCCCAGTTACGTCCCCTTAGCTTAGCGTCGCTTATCGCATCTTAGTTTAGCTTATTTCATCTTAGCTTAGCTTAGCTTCATCTTAGCTCAGGTTTATCTTAGCATAACTTACCTTCGTCTTAGCTTCGCTGAGCTTTAGCATAGCAGAGCACCGTATAGCATAGCATAGCGCAGCACATCATAGCGCAGCACAGCATATCATAGCATAGCCCAGCATAGCATAGCATAGCGCAGCATAGCATAGCATAGCATAGCATAGCATAGCATAGCATATCGCAGCGCAGCACAGCACAGCACAGCGCAGCATAGCATAGCACAGCATAGAATAGCATAACAGAGCAGAGCAGCGCAGAGCATAGCATAGCATAGCAGCAAAGCACAGGCAAAGCAACAGCAGCGACAGCAAAGCAAAGCACAAGCAACGCAAAGCAAAGCAAAGCAAAAGCAAAGGCAAAGCGAAGGAAAGGCAAAGCAAAAACAATGTGCGACAGATGCTGAGCTAGCCTCGATGGCCGGACCGGAACCCCGCAAGCAGTGCCTTCCGTAACCATTCCGGCTCAAGTCCGGAGGCCCTGCCACACAGCCGCCCGCGCTCATGTCCCGAGGTTGGCGGAGTGAGGCGTTCAGCGGTGCTGCACAGCCCGCCTCGGCACCAGGTGGTGCTGCACAGTCCACCCGGCTTGTTGTGGCCATCGATGTGGGCGACGTCGCGTCCAAGCGGAACGACGATCAGCGGGTTGAAGGCAGCAGGATGTACACGGCTGTCGAGGATGGCTTCTGGGCGTTCGTTGTGCTCTTTGCGGCTGAGTACGGCTTGCAAGACATGCACTTCATCAGTCGCACGACGCGGGGCACGCGGTACTCGCGCCATGCCCGCCTGGGCAGGGTAGATGCGTGGGTCGCCAGGCTGATCTGGGGCACAGGCTTGCGCGAGATCGGGAAGCCTGACGCGAACATCCATTTGGCGCCTCAGAAGAGCGGGGAGGATGGTAAGGGCGTTGCTTCTCGGCACTTGCAGCTGACCCACGTGATCGACGACGATCTCGAGTGCTTGTGGGGTGTCTTGAACGACGTCTCGTGTCGTGGGCTTGCCCGTGTCTCTCGGTGCGTCTCGTGGAGGCCTGTCTCTTTGTGCGGTGCTGCGCAGCCTGCGCTGCGCAGTCCCCGTGCTGCGCAGCCCGAGCAGTCTTCTGTGTAGGCGCGGTCTAGCCGATGCGTGGATTGACGCTCGGACGCGGGGGAAAATGAGCTGATAACCTACGCGCGCGCATGCGTGCACGCATGCGCATGTACAATCGTGCGCGCGCGTGCGCGCATACATACGCGCGCGCATGCGTGCGTGGACCTATACACCTGTACGCCTACGCATGCGTACATGCATACATGCGTACACGCAAGCGTACGTGGGTGGCCAGCCTCGTCGCTGACCCAGATGGCCAAGTCGTGCGGTAGTAGACCGGGTGCGGAGCGTTCTCAAGCGCACCCGGTGAGCGAATGTGGAAACATGCGCGCGCGTACGTGCGCTGGCAAAGCCAAAACACAATCAAACAACAGCAACAATAACATCAAAACGAAAGGAACAGCGACAGCGAGCGCAAACTCAAGAGCAAAGGCAAGGCAATGCGATGCAACAACGAAACCAATGCGAACGTGTAGATGTAGATGTAGATGTGTAGGTGTAGGTGTAGATGCAGCTGTAGGCGAACAGGTATATGTAGATGTGAGTCTCGCTGTTGATGTTGATACAAGTAGATGCAAGTGTAGATGTTAATGTAGCTGCCGGTGTAGATGTAGATGTTGTTTTCCTAGATGCTCCAACCTAGGTAGGGTCGCGCTGGGGTAATCATCTCCTCCCATGGTTTAAATGATAAGTATTCGGTCATACCATGCGACATATCTTATTACAATACCTGGGACAGTGCCTGCTGGAACTCAGACTTTAGCTCGTGGAGCGCAGATCGTGCTATCTCTGCGCTCTTCACGATTGATTTGGGAATCGCGTTATCGCTCGAGATTTTCCCGCGAATCATCTGATAATCACGGTTAAAAAACCGCCTGTTCGACCTGGCCGCTTGGGCCCGCCTTCCCGGCCCGCCCGTTCGGGTTTGCCCGCCCGTCTGGTTCTGCCGCGTGCTTTCTGCTCCTAGCCCCCCTTTGTCAATCCCGTGTCCCCCCCCCCTCCCCCTTGTTCTTTTTTTCTTCTGTCCGCTCTCCCCCTGCTTCAGAGGCCGCGCGAAATACACGTTGCAGAGAAGAGGGAGATCAACCCCGAGGAGGTGCGATCGACGACGAACAGGGCGGGCATCCAGGGATCGTGATATACGTGTTGAGTGGCCCTCGAGCAGTTCATAGCGATCCGTCTTAACATGGGTATTGTTGTTGCTGCTACTGCTGATATGGTTGTTGGTTGTTGTTGGCTGTTGTTGTTGATATTGTTGTTGTGATCGTTGTTGTTATTGTTGTGGTCGTTGATGCTGTTGTTGTTGATTTCCAATGTTCAACATAAACAGACTGTTGACTTCGCCCCTTCAGTAATCATTCTGCATGTATAACAATGCTTATTCCGGGTATCGCGCCCTGTTTTACACGGGAAAGCGAGCGCTCACCAAATTTTGCCTCTGGCGCCCGGTTTACAGCAACAGCGGCTCCCAATGTGGATTTCCCCATGCTGCATTCCCAGACCGCGCTCTCGCGCGGGGCGACCTCGCAAATTCTACAGGGATCGCGCCGTCGTGTGGGGCTCCTTTGCGTTTTTCAGACGCCGCGCCTTCGGTGCTCAGGAATCACGTTCTCGCTTTGGATTTCTCATCGAAATTGTCTGTGAAGGACGCGCGCTTCAGAGTCCCGTCTGCTCGACCTGGCCGCCTGGGCCCGCCTCCCCGACCCGCCCGTTGAGGTGTGCCCGTCCGTTTTGCCCGTCTGGTTCTGCCGCGTGTTTTCTGCTCCTAACACACCTCCTGCCATCGTTCTCTCTAGTGCTCCATCCCCCCCTTGCCATTTTCCATGCATTTTCCTTTGCCCCGCCGCGTGGGCTGCGCGAGATACACGGTGCAGGTATATATATATATATATATATAGTGCGTTTGCGGTTGATGCGCGGGCAAAGGGGGGCGAGTGTTCGTTGGCCGCATTTGATTTCACGGCGGGCGTTTTGGCTTCTAGCGAGGCCCTCAGATGCTTCGTGGGGGCTCGCGCGTTCGCGCCCCCGCCGCGCTGCAGGCCGAGCGGCCCCGGGCCCGCGGCTGGTGCGAGGGGCGGCTCGCCCCCGGCGAGAGCCTCGCTTTGGCGGAGGCTGGCGGGCTGCTGGGGGCGTGCGAGCTGCGGCATTTGCTCGCGCTCGCCAGGCTGGCGGCGCGCGAGGCGCGGCTGGCGCCGCGCGAGCGGGCGCCGCTGCTAGAGAAGGCTCGCCACTTCGGAGCGCAGCTCGCGGCGCTCGCGACGCTCGGGCCCGATGCCCCCCAAGGCGAAGGGCAAGGCTACGGCCAAGGGCAAAGCCACAGCCAAGGCGGCCCCTGGCGGAGGCGGTCGCGGCCGCGGGCGGGGCGCTGCAGTCGCTCACCGACGTGTGCGTGGGCGCGCTGGAGCTGGGGCTGCTGGCGAAGGCGGAGCTCCTGCGCCAGGCGGGGTCGACGCCCTTGGCGGAGCCGCAAGCCCCCCGCTGGCCGGCGCGGCTGGGGCCCCCGTGGTGCCAGGGCTCGGCGCCCTGCTTGGGCTCCCTAGCGGCCTCGACGGCGTCGGAGGCGGCGCGCCACTTGCTCTGCCTGGCGGCGGTGGCGCGATGGGCGCTGGCGGCGTCGGCGTTGGGGCCGCGCTGGTGGGCGCGCTCGCTGCGCCTGGCGGCGGAGCTGCTGGTGGCGCGGGGGCCCCGCCTGCTGCTGCGGCCCTCGGAGCTGGGGCGCCCTTCGGAGTGTTTGGAGGCGCTGCCATCCCAGCGGCCGGAGTGCAACTGGACGCGCTGGCAGACGGCGCCTGGGCGCAGGCGTTGGTGCTGGTGGGGGCTGGCTGGGCCCAGGGCATGAACGTGGAGCTGCCGACGCACGACGCCATGGGCGGGATCAGCGGCGCAGCCCTGTTCGAGGTGGACGAGGTCGGCGTGCCTGGCGCTGCGGGCCAGTGCCCGAGCGCCCAGTTCAGGGGGGCGTTGCTGCCAGCCGAGGCGCTGCGCCTCGACGGTGCCTT